AAAAGGCTCTGGTGTCTGGAGACATGAATGTGATGACCATGTCTGTCAGCTCTTAGTGGCAAAAGCATGATCATGTGCAAGTCACCAACTCTTTTCTGAAGCCTGTTACCTCTTCAGTAAATTTTCTTCTGTAGAGTTATTTAAGGAACTAATGAAGCAATGTAAATAAAAAACCTGTGGGGGGACCACAGTCAGCGTAATGGCTATGTCGCTATACTCCCATGTAGCCAACCGCGGTTCGGGTCCTGGACTTGGTGGCTTAAACTCAAGCCGGGTGTGTGTGCGTGCGTGCCCAAGATCCTGAGAGGAGAATGGAGGAGAAGGGATTGCGGCATGGCCCTCCACCCCTGGAGGGTGATTTCTCGCTTTCTATCTCTCTGTCTGTCTCTGTCTTTCTGGCGAACGCACGTGCCCTATAGCAAAAACCTCTAAAAATAATAATAATAAAGAAAAATAAAAAACTCTGTGGGCTCAGCTGTGATAGCACATGCTGGTAGACACTGCTACTTGGCAGGTGGAGGGCACATGGGAGGCCTAGGTTTGATTCTCAGCCCACAACAGAAGCCAGGTGTGGTGGTATACACCTGTAGTGGACCAAAAACATACCATGGTGAGCCCCTGTCTAAAAACAAACACAATGGGACCAGCAGTTAGCATAATGGCTATGTAGCTGAGCTCCCATGAGTCCCGGACCCAGTGGCTTAAACTCACACCGGGTACGTGTGCATGTGTGCCCAAGATCCCGAGAGGAGGATGGAGGAAAAGGGATTACAGCATGGTCACCCCCCCCGGGGGGGGGGATTTCTCACTTTCTGTCTCTCTGTCTCTATCTTTCTGGAGAGCGCACATGCCCTATAGCAGAAACCTCTCCAAAAAAAAAAAAAAAGAAAAGAAAAAATAAAAAAAACCCACAAAAACAAATACAACCCAAAAAAAATTTCTGGGAAACACAGAGAACAAGATAACAAAATTATGACAAATCATGCATAGAATTTCACTCTTTTCTAAATAGTATCAACAAATTATGAATTATAATACTCAAGAGACTATCATTTGAACTATTATCAAGCATCTGATCTAAAACACATGTAACTGATTTTCCCATTTTTACCAACTTTTAGAAGATCCCCGAGAACATTTATCAGGTAATCCTAAGAGGTTAACTTGCTCCTGAAATGTAGTGATACATTTCTTGAAATCCTCTCTTCTTCTATTATTTGAGCACATTCTTCAATTGAGATGAGCTTTCCCTTTAAGCCACTTACATCATAGAGATTAACTGATTTTTCTCTTTTCTGTACAGGAATTTATAAGTACTTTTTTCCTCCCCCAGAAGGTGCTTGAGCTTGCTGAAGAGAGGCAGAGAGACAGGGAGTGAGCGTGAGAAAGCTCCCTTCCTAGGGAATAATGCCATAATCCTTTCTTCTCCATTTCTCCCTCCTTTTTGGGATTTTGGGCACTCACGTAGGTGTGTCTGGCATGTTTTTACAGCTGCTGGGCCTGGGGCTCAAACTACCTGATCAACCATTTTGGGATCCAGCCACTCAAATACCATGCTATGGCCTGGCCCAAATACTTCTAATAAAAGTACTTTTACCGGGATTGCCTTTCTGTACAATTGAACAGTGGTCGGGAAGGCTCTGTCTAGTAGGTGGCATACAACTCCTCTCCTCTCCCCTCTTCTCTTTAAGAGGATAGGGCAGCACTTCACAGAACCTCCACCCACCCTGCTTCCTGAAGACATGCTGTGCCCTCTTCATTTTTCATAGTGGAAGTGCATGGCTTCTGTAGATTAGGACCCTGAGTCTAGTCTCAGCTGGTAGACTTATTTACTCTATGGCAATGGAAAAGCTATGCAACTTGGATTTCTTGTTTATAAACCAGGATAAAATTTGTTCTTACTATAGGAATAGTGTGGGTTGTAAAATGCCAAAAGAGGTGTTGAAAAAGTTTGTTAAAGAGCATGGGACTGGGCTGGCAGGTGGTGTGGTGGTTAAAGGCACTGGATTCCCACATGGCCGATGTGGCTTGAGTCCTGGATCTGGCAGTTTGCTTTCTTGCTTCCTCTTTCTCAATCTCTCTGGTCAAATGAAAAAAATAATAACAAATGGGATTAAAATAAATAGTTATTTAAAAAAAAGAGCAGGGGACTGTAATGTTATAATAGGTTGCTGGACTCTCATATGGCTGGCCATGATTTGAGTCTTGGACTCAGTGGCTTGAAACTCATGCTGGGCACATGTGTATGCATGCCCAAAATCCTGGGAGGAGAATCAAGGAGAAGGGATTGTGGTGTGGCTATCCCTCCTGGGGGGTGGGTGATTTCTCAATTTCCCTCTCACTGTATCTGTCTCTCTCTCCAGAGTGTGCACGTGACCTAAGGCAAAAACCTCTAAAAAGAAAAAACAAAAACAAAAACAACCCTTGTTAACTGAGACTTCATTAAAAAAATACTCCAAACAAACTTCCCTAGGCCACTGCACACAACTTATCACTAAAATGAGAAAATTATTTTAAAAGACTAGAAAGTTCCAGTGCTTATTTCTTGATCTATTGTTTTCAGATGAGACTGACTAACCTCTTGCCTCTCTCCAAAGTACTGACACCTACTCTGTGTTGCCAGGTACAGTACTAGATGCACAGATACGACAGTGAGCAAGCCAGTGAGGGCCCTGCCTGCAAGAGGCTGAAGAGCAAATGGATAGGATAACAAGATAACATGTAATTAAATTGACTGCAACTGTGGTAACGGGTACAATAGACAAATAATAAAATCAGAGATGTAGAGAATTCTTTTTCTAACAGTTTCCTGAAAATGGGATTTCATAACCTTTGCTCATTCCTGTGATTAACAACTTTCAAAGTTAAAAACTGCTAACTTTTTACTTAATAATATTTATGCTTTTTACTCTCATGCTATTTTTCAAGAGTGGTAAAGGAAGATAGTTCTCTTTTCTAATACTAAGAGCCCTTCAAATATTGGCAACAGCGTCCAAATAAGATTAGTGCCTGTGCTTAAAACATAATACACAGCATTACTATAGCTTCAGGTTTTTTGCTTTGAATTCAAATGAAATGAATGTTGTGTTGTTGAACTTTTACAGAGATAAATGGCCAATAGTTTTTTCCTACAAAGCATTAGCATGTTCCCATAAAATCAAGCATTTTCAGTGTCCCAGTCAAAAATGATCTAACAGACACTCTGAAAAGAAGAGAGCTATTCAACAAGGTAAAAAGTATCACACTGTCAACAGCAAAGAAAACAACAGAATTGGGGGCCAACAGGTGGTGGTGTGGTGGTTGGGGTGTTGGACTCAGACATGTCCGACTGTAGTTTGAGTCCTGGACCTGGTGGCTTGCTTTCTCACTTTCCCTCTCTGTCTCTCTCTAGTGAGCACATGTGCCCTGTAGCAAAGTATAAAAAAAATAAAAGTAATGAAAAATAAAATTAAATCATTGTGAACTAAGGACAATTAAAAAAAAAGAAAACCAAAAATTAAAAAGCAACCTATGGAAAGGGAGAAAATATTTTCAAACCACTTACCGGAAATAAATAGTGAACTCCTACAAATCAGTTACCTGTGCATGTGCGTGCATATGTGCACACACACATATACACACACACGCACGCACACAAGATAATCCAGTTGAAAAATGGGAAAAGGAATGAAACAGACATTTCTCAGGAGATACACAAATGGCCAGCA